TGGAGAGGGGCAGAGTAATACAGTGAGGGGTCTTTGTCATCCAATCCCTGGCAAGACTGTCACACTGGGCCTGGACAGGAGTGGGGCACCTTGGTACACGGTGACAGGTACACAAATAGCAGACACGTGTGCTCTTAACCCTGTTCCCCTGTCACTATGTTATCAACTAATCTGCTTCTCAGCTACAAAATTAGAGCTAAGAAAGCACAACTATTTATAAAGCATTTACATGAGCCAGGCGCCAGGCTTTATAATAGGATTTAACTTGATTTTCCAACAATCCTGGGAGGGAGGTATTATTAACCCCATTTCACAGACATGGATATGGGGCTTGGAGAGGTCAAGTGATTTTCCAAAGATCAAGCAGGGAGTAGAGGCAGAGCCAGGATTTGGACCCAGGCTGGCCCAACACCAAAACTCATGCCTTCAACCTTGACACCAGCCTGCCAACCAAGGAGAGGCAAAGCAAAGGCCCTGGAGGTGAGCTGTTGGCAGCAGTGAACTTGCCCGGGCTCCCGCTGGAAACGCTGTTGAAACGAACATTTCCAAAGCTGGGAAGCCCTGCTCTCGCTACACTTCCAAGCACAAGGCAGAAAGAACTTGGATTTGAACCGATGCAAGCCCCTGTTCTTTCCCAAAAAGCAGCTCTCAAGTGCAGAGGTCATCTTTCCTGATCCCATTTGTGGATAAATCTTTCTCTGTCATTGCAGGTTCAGGCTTGTGAATTCAGGTCCCAGAGGACACTGTGTGAACTGGGTCTATGAAATTGGCACTGACAGCAGCCAGCCTTCCAGGGGATGGGGGAGGGAAGAAATAGCAGATATTTTCCCAAGGCTCAGCTTTATAATTTTCTTGGAAATTGCCGAGCAGTCAATCAGCTAGCTTCTAAACAGTGCGGGTCTCTCCTGGACACTGAAGGCAAAAGTTCCTCTATCTGCTTCTCTTTGTGTCCTTTCTTGGAGCTCAGTGCTCATGTTCACTGTTCACAGAAATGGGCCAATCATACTCCCAACTAGGGATAATGGGCATCATACATACTTGGAATACAGTGTGGTATCATTATTCCATTTTACAGATGAGGAAAATGAGGCTTCCCAAAGTTAAGAGCTTCAGGGGCAGAGTCTCTTGGTTTCTGTTCACCTCACTCTAGGCCAGAGCGATCTCCTTACAGAACCTGTAATTTTCAGGCTGGATCACAGAACTGTTGGGTTCTGTGGGCCAGTGAGAGAAACTGGGGAAAACCAAGCAGGCAGGCAGGGTCTCCAGCCTGACCAGCCAGGTGCCTGCCACAAAGCAATACTTGATGACTACCTGTTGAATGGATGTATGAATGAATAAATGTGTCAATAAATGCTTCACAGGCCCCTTGTATCCGTACTGGAGCTCCAGGTAGGACTTCATTAGAATAAAAGATTCTGTTATATAAAAGCAAAGTCTGAGAACCAAAGCACTAGAGTAGACCATGCTGACCTCCCAGTTACCGGCAGATTTTCAGTGCAGAGCCGATGTTGGGAAGGTAGAGAGAAGATGGCGGGCAGGGAAAGGTGACCCAAGGAAGCTGGAATTATAGCTGGCAGCGGGATCACTAGATACGTGGGACCACTGCGTCGTTCTAGTTGAAAAGCCCTAAATCTGTACTCCTTGGGCCCCAGGAATACTAGGTAAAACTTTGTGTTTAGGCATTTTTTAGGCATAAGATACAAATTTCTCATCAGAGTCTCAAAGGAAACCTTGACCTTTAAAAGGTTATACAGGATTGCTTTAAGATACTATCTAAACATCCACAGACATGGGCAATTGTCATAAGGAGTCTGAACTTTATCTGTTTCAAGTCTTCATTTTATAGCCAAAAATATAGAAAGAAATGGCAGATGACTTGCCCAAGGCCACCTGGCAGGTTTGTTGGGGAGAGCTTTCCAAATTAAGATGACATTTAACTGAGTGGTTGGTCAAATTAGGATTTAGATCTGGGATTCAGTATGGTGGTCTTTCTAATACAAGGATTCTTAATCTGAGGGCCTTGGTTGGACTGCAGGATCTACGAACCTGCTGAACTGCATGCAAAATTGGGAGGATATGCATTTTTTCTATGGAAAGAAGTAGGTACTTCGATCATATTCTTTTTTTTTTTAAAGATGGAGCCTTGTTCTGTCACCCAGGCTGGAGTGTCATGGCATGATCTCAGCTCCTGGATTTAAGCAATTCTTCTGCCTCAGCCTCCTGAGCAGCTGGGACTACAGGTGCACACCACCATGCCTAGGCTAATTTTTTTTTTTTTTTTTTTTTGGTATTTTTTGGTAGAGATGGGGTTTCACCGTGTTAGCCAGGCTAGTCTCAATCTTCAGACCTCATGATTCACCCACCTCGGCCTCCCAAAGTCCTGGGATTACAGGTGTGAGCCACCACGCTTGGCCAGATCAAATTCTCAGAAATTTAGCCCCCAATTAAGATGAGGGGCCACTACAGTCCTCTAGGTCAGCCCTCAGGCTGCCTTCCCTGGAGAACTCATGGGTAGAGCTGCTCCTGTTCTGAACTTTGATCAGGATGGAGGTGTATGCATGTGAGGGACTGTGTTCTCTCCTGCATCATGTATCCCCTCCTGGTGAGCTGATACCAACTCCTTTCCCAATAACAGGCTCAGAGTGAGACAGTGTCTCTGGTGACAGAATTGGGTGTGCTGAACAGGAAGGTTACAGAAACTTCTTGACATCAGCCAAGATGTCAAAGCTGAGATTTGGACACGCTCAAAACAGTTTCCACCAAGATGGGCTCTGCCCCCCGGGAGACTGAGGGAGCAGGCGAGCCAGCAAGCACTCACTTAAATGCCGTCTTAATTTGGAAAGCATAGAGGGACATTTTTATCAATAGTCAGCCGTTCTCCAGCACCAGGAGTACAATGCAGTGCTCAGAGCCTGGGGGCAGCTCAGAGATTGACAGGCAGCCGCCTTGTCTGTCACCCAACTTCAGTTTGGCAGCTCGCTGACCCTACCTCTTCTCTGGCTGAAGTAAGAGTGAAATGGCAACCATTACCCTTGAAACTCTGGAGAGAACCAAATCCCAAAAAAGGGAGGACAGGAGAAGGGAGAGCCAGGCTTGGCCTGGCACATAGTGTGTACCTAGAAAATAGATCAGCATTTTCTAATTCCTGCTAAGTTTTGGATACAATGGGGGAGGAGTGGGACATGATCAGAAACACACATGCAACAAACATTTTGTACTTATTGAACAGTTACTAAGTGCCAAAAGTAGCACAGGGAACCATGTGTGTGCCTGTGTGCGTGCGTGTAGGCAGCAAGCAAGGTGGGGGGGGCAATAAAGAATTATTCATTTAAGCTATTTAAAGTACCTACTATGTGCTGGGTAGGCTTGGTGCTGGTCATTGGGTGGGGCAGGGGTGAGTATAATCACTCATCTGTTGAACGTGTATTTGGCATTAAAGATAAAGTGAACCAAATAGCCTTTTTCCCATCATAGTGTCAGGACTATGAAAACAGCATCTCCGGATAGGGAAACTGAGGCAGCAGAGCTTCACACGAAGGCCAGGCTGTGACCCAGCATCCTGACCCAGGCTGGCCCTGCTGATGGGAGTCACCTCCCTCTCCTCCTCTCACGCTTCCTCTGGGGCACTGATGGTGAGTCATTAGCAGCAGAATTTTAATGGCAAAAGCACAGCAGTCCCCAGGTCTGCCAATGAAGCCCATCCCCCTGGGGCTGGATCAAGACTGCAGTGACTGAACAGCCAAGGACTTTTGGTCCCTTGACAACACCTTTCTCACGACTCTGCCACCCTTCCCTTTCCACAGGAGAGGCCCTTCCTTTTTAAATTGGAGAGCTTAAAAATATCCTGTCCCCCCACCTTTGGCATCCCAAATTGAATCAGTATTTAGTTCAGCAGTGACTGGCGGGGAGGGAGACCCACTCAGGGAGGGCTGCATCTGGCCTTCACCACAGGATGCCCGGTGTCCAGACTGAACCACCCCTTGGCCCCGGGTACAGCTAGAAGGAAGTAGTCAGAAAATCCAAAATGACAACAGAAGGGAGGAGGCTGGGGAGTGGGGCTCCACAGGGAGGACACACAGTGACATTTCATGCAGAGGGTGCTCCAGGAAGGCTCAAAGGCAATCTGTAGGGAAACAGGCTCTGGGCTCAACTCAGTGAGGGAAAACACTGGGTTAACCAAGTTCTTTACTGGAGGACTTCTTGGAACCTCGAATATGCTGATGTGTATTGTCAATCTATAAAAAGGGGACGTCTGGTGCAGCATTAACTCACAGAAACCTTTGTTTGTTTGCTTTTTTGGCAGACAGCTTAGCGCACTGCACAGCTTAAAACCCTGAGCTTGACACCTCAGGTTTCCTACCCTGCACGGGGTCTTGTACTCAGTGCTGAGGACCCTGGAATACAAAGACAAGGTCCCTGCTCCCAAGGAGTGCCATCTGTGGAAGGCAGCCATGTGCAGGGTTCAATGGCGGTGAGCCAGTGTGCAGGGCAGCCCTGAAAAGGAGGCAGGGAGCAGGCGAGGAGCTGGAGCTAGAGGACGCCTGGGTTCCCCGGGCAAAAGGGAGGTGCTAGAAAAGTGTGACACGACCACTTAGAAGTTGAGAGAGGTGCGATGGGAAGCAGGGAGGGAAACGTGGACAACTATCCCCCCTCAAATCTTCTCCCCTTTGAACTGACCAAGCCGGCTGCTCTTTCCCACTCAGTCACAGGATTGTGGTGGGTGGGCCCTCTATCCCTCCCAGCCCCCACCCTCAACCACATCTATGTTATTCAACTTGGGCTAACATCCAGAAGCCAGGGAACAGCTATTCACAAATTCAGTAATTGGACTCATTAGCGTTGACTCAGAAATCTTTTTTTTTCCTAAGTCTCTCTCAGAGAAGCTTTTAAGATCCTTTAAATTGGTTAATGGAGAGTTTAGAAATGAGGACAGAGCCTCAGCTTTCAGCTCCCCCTGCCCATCTCCCTGGCTCTCCCCAACATACTCAGGGCAAGAGTGATGAGATATTCCAATATCTGTTTTATTAAACACCCAGACATTTCTGGCACACATTTCCCAAACGGGGACCTCAAAATCTATACTCTCCAGCTCTAAGACTCCTAGCACTCCATCTACATTTACTCTCCCATGGGTAGGACAGTAATAATGCTTTCACATAAAACTGCAGTGTGAACTGATGGACAAGAACCCTGGAGTCAGGAGGCCCAGGTAACCTCATCCTGGCTTGGCGACCCATAAAGCCACGCACCCATGGGCATCACCGCCTCCAGGGCCAAAGTGAGTACCAAGGTCTTCTCTGTGGTGAAATGCCCTTGCATTTGTCTTATAAGGCAGGAGGGCAGACACCATTGCCTTTGGTCTACAACTGAGGAAGCAATCCAGGGAGTCAGGTAACTGCTTCAAGGTGGCAATGGCCAAGCAAGTGGCAGAGTCAGACCTGGGTCTACGCACCCTCCTCTTCTTGACTGTGCTGGCGCAGGTGCATAGGGTTTGGGGGAAGGTGGGTGGGTAACTGGCCTCTTCTTCGGGACTCAAATTGTGATATATATCTGAGAACCCACAGGCTCCATCTTTAGGGCTGAGGTGAGAAGTTCTGAAAGTCAAGCAGACACATCCAGGCATTTGGGCAAGAAACTTCTTCCTTCCAAATCAAAGGTGAAATGAAAACAATTATGAGCTCATAGGGGATGAATAGAGGTGAATGGTGGAGCTAGTCTCGAGGATGGCCTGATTTAGTGTTTCCTATGTGTCAGCCACTCACAGAACCACTCCTATGATTTTTTTTTTTCTTTTTCTTTTTTTTTTTTTGAGACGGAGTTTCGCTCTTGTTACCCAGGCTGGAGTGCAATGGCGCGATCTCGGCTCACTGCAACCTCTGCCTCCCGGGTTCAGGCAATTCTCCTGCCTCAGCCTCCTGAGTAGCTGGGATTACAGGCACGCGCCACCACGCCCAGCTAGTTTTTTGTATTTTTAGTAGAGACGGGGTTTCACTATGTTGACCAGGATGGTCTCATCTCTCAACCTCGTGATCCACCCGCCTCGGCCTCCCAAAGTGCTGGGATTACAGGCTTGAGTCACCGCGCCCGGCCCACTCCTATGATTTTTGCCACCTCTCTGGATCTGTGCTCCCTTTTATGCTATGTTTTTCTTTAAACTGATTCAGTTTTTTTTTTTTTTGGAGATGAAGTTTCGCTCTCATTGCAAGTGCAATGGCACAATCTCGGCTCACTGCAACCTCTGCCTCCTGGGTTCAAGCGATTCTCCTGCCTCAGCTTCCCAAGTAGCTGGGACTACAGGCATGTGCCATAACACCTAGCTAATTTTGTATTTTTAGTAGAGACAGGGTTTCTTCATGTTGGTCAGGCTCATCTTGAACCCCCGACTTCAGGTGTCCCGCCTGCCTCGGCCTCCCAAAGTGCTGCGAACATAGGCGTGAGCCACCTCGCCTGGCCCTGATTCACTTTTTTCAAAAGTTAGCTTTATTCTAGACAGAACATCTGTCAAGCTGCAGGTCAATATGCTAGTCATACTTTTATATTATATGTTAAATATAGAACTACTGAAATAGAAAATATTAATTTGAGTGCCACCTAAAATCTTCTTGTGAACCAGGGGTACACACATCAAACATTGGCAAAGAGTGGTACTGGTTTAAGTGTGAGAAAACTGAGGCACAGCAAGGGAGAAGGTGAGTGATTTGCTCAAACACAAAGGCTAAGGTGAGCACCAGGGTCTGTTGACCCTCCAGTAGGGTTCTTCATAGGTCACTGAATGCATCCTTTGGTGCACAGACCGAAATGACTGTGAACGCATCCCAGGCTCATCTGTGAGGCTACCAAATGGGGGGAACGATCAGTTACGTACTAGCCATGTACGTGAAATTGCTTGAGAACCTGAACTCCAGCTGGAATTTCTACCTGGAAAGGATTGCTGACGCTCTGTTTTTGTTATCCAACCTCCCGCCCCCTCTGGCCCCTAAGAGGCACCAGTGACTATGTTTTATCTCACCTTAGCCAAAACCTAGTCTGACGACGCTCCTTTCCAGTGGGCAGGGGTGTGGGGGGACAGCCCTGCTGGGGGCTTCCGGGCTGGCTCTGAAATGCCGACTTCTGCAGAGAAGGTCAAGGTTCCCTGCGCTTGAGGCATGTGGTAGGCGTGAGGTTCCTGCCAGCAGGGTGTTCAGGCTGCAGAGGGAGGGGCTGGAGAAAGACTTCAGTCCTGTAACTGTCAGGTCGCTGGGCCCCGGGGCTGTAAGAAGAGGTGAGAGCAGCCATTACTCATGCTGTATATTCCTGGACTCCTACTTTGCAGCCAGGACTTCTTCAAAGGCTTGGTTCCCCAGGCATTGTTAACTCCCAACCCCAGTGACTCATGAGTAAGCAGGGCTCTCAGAGCCCTAGAAGAGTAAGTCAGACAACCTTGGGATATTGTCTCTCCTACAAAAGCATCAGAGCAGCTACCATTTGTTCAGTACCTACTGTGCTGTCTGGCTGTGCTAAGCCCCTTAGAGTCATCTCATTTAATCCTTATGACAACCTAATGAGTTAGGTTTTACCACTGCCTTTATTTTTAGAGGTGAAGAAACTGAGGCACAAAGCCATGAAGTCTAAGTTCAGTGACAGTGGGGGTTAAAACTCAGGTATGGCTGGTAGTGGTGGCTCATATCTGTAATCTCAGCACTTTGGGAGGCTGAGGCGGGTGGATCACCTGAGGTCAGGAGTTTGAGACCAGTCTGGCCAACATGGCAAAATACTGTCTCTATTAAAAATACAAAAAATTAGCTGAGCATTGTGGTGGGAGCCTGTAATCCCAGCTACTCCAGAGACTGGGCCAGGAGAATTGCTTGAACCTGGGAGGTAGACGTTGCAGTGAGCAGAGATCGCACCATTGCACTCCAGCCTGGGCAACCAGAGTAAAACTCTGTTTCAAAAAAAAAAAAAACCAACTCAGGTTTGTTTGACTCCAAAAGCTGTGCTCTTAGCCACCACCGGGGTTGGAAATGGCAAGGAGACCAGAGACTATTGCCACATACTATTCTGTCACAGGGTACTGAGCTTAGGGAAGGGACCTGTTGGCCTGGACTTGGGTCTGTACCTGCAGCCTCCATGGAAAAGAGGGCTTGCAGCCTCTCCTGGGCGGCCTCGTTTCCCAGAGCCGCTGACTGCTGGTAACATCTCAAGGCCTCTCCCAGATTCCTCTGCACACCAAGGCCTCTCTCGTAGCAAATTCCCAAGTGGTACCTGCTCTGTGAGTCCTACGGGAGAAAAGGGACAGACAAACAGATACACACACGCACGACTGAGGAACTGAAATACTAAGGCAGGAGGAAAGTCAGGTCAGGCATGCTGGGACTTCATCCACGCAGGGTCAAGGCCGAGCCCTGGCCCGCCCCATAGCAAGGGATCTCAACTAGGAAATGCCAGAGGCTCAGAGCCCACTCAACACAAAGGAGAAGGGGATCCCTCCACCTGGGCAGATTCCAGCCAGGGCAGTGTGGAGGCTTCTCTTGCACAGGCTGGCTGAAAGCATGCAGAAGGAAGGCTCTAGGAAACAGCCCAGTTACAGAAAACCTGGGAGTCGGGCTCTACATTGCCCTGAAACAGCAAAGAGGTAAGGGTAGAGAGTCACCTTCCCAAAAACCCTGTGCCTTCCTGAATCTCTGCCTGAAAGCGCTGACCAAAAGAAGCAATTCTTCTCCTTTAAAAAGCTATGCTCGCCGGGCACGGTGGCTCAAGCCTGTAATCCCAGCACTTTGGGAGGCCGAGGCGGGTGGATCACGAGGTCAAGAGATCGAGACCCTCCTGGTCAACATGGTGAAACCCCGTCTCTACTAAAAATACTAAAAATTAGCTGGGCATGGTGGCGTGTGCCTGTAATCCCAGCTACTCAGGAGGCTGAGGCAGGAGAATTGCCTGAACCCAGGAGGCGGAGGTTGCGGTGAGCCGAGATCGCGCCATTGCACTCCAGCCTGGGCAACAAGAGCGAAACCCCGTCTCAAAAAAAAAAAAAAAAAAAAAAAGCTATGCTCTTTGCCCTGGCTCTGGATCCTTTCTCCTCTCACTGAGGGCTATGCTCAGGATCAGGTAGAGGCCGGGTGTCCAGCTGCACAGCCAGACTGTCTGCGCTCCCGTCATGGCTCTACCACTTCCCAGCTGTGTTCACTCAGGCACATGACTCTACCTCTTGGTGCCTCAGTTTCCTCACCTATAAAATGGGATACTAAAAGCACCTACCTTATTAGGTTGTTGCGAGGATTAAATACGCTATATGAAAAGTGCTTATATGCACTATATGAATCATATTCACTCTCCCAATTTAAAGAAACAAAACAAAACACTATTGACTCCCAACCGTGGTTCCATTTCTCTTCTACCCAACATGGTCAAATTTCTGGAAGAGTTGTCTACACATTCTGCCCCCACTTCTAGAACACACAGGCCAAAGCCCCTCCAATAAATATGGCAGACTTATGCCTACAGGTCAGGTTCTAACACAGCATTGGACACATGTAAGGCCAAACCACCACCCCTGCAACGCTGCTCAGTACAAACCCAAGAAGACACAATTCCCTGTGGGGTGGAAAAGTGTTAGGTCTGAGTCCCAAGACAGTGTCACATAGCATTTGACAGATATCCTTTTGTGCACTTTTCCTGCTAGCATGCTGGTCTGATTAAAGCAGGCCAGCGTGCCCACAGGTTTGCCCTGCATATGGATGTGCAGACCTGCCCAACTTTGAAAGGCTCTGTGGGGCTCTTTCAAGGCAAGGTAGGTACAGCTCTGGATATTGACTGGTGACATTGGTCCCCTTTTGACAGCTACTGCAGATACTTTGGGCAACAGAGTAGACAAGGAAAAGCATTTTGATCCCCAGGAGTTCAATGAAGCTATCAGGGTGTTAGCCAGAAAACAAAGGAAGCAGCAGTCCCCTATGTAGGGACATCATGGTACACGCATATATTGCTTGATTTAATCCAAGACTCCTGGTCCGTCAAGATGCAACTCAGAAGATACGCTCGTTAAATACATTTGAGGAATACAGCAAACCACAGATGGCCTTTTCGATGATCTCAGTGACATAAAGCTTTGAGACTTCCTGCATTAACAATAACTGTTTAACTGAGTATTTCCCCAACCCATCTAACCGTTTTTTTCCTCTCATGACTTATAAACATCTCACGGAACTAACGCTTCAGGGAACACATCTCAATTGTCTGAATGCCAGTGCCCCCAGTTCAGACAACCAGACATGCCCACCCACCCCAAGCTGAGCAGTGTTCACTGTTTACTGTCTCCACCTGATGCGTCTTCTGATTTCCCTGGGTTACCATCACTTGTAATGATGCATTTTTCATGTGTACAGGTTACGCAGCACTCTCACACCTGTCATCTCAGTTAGATTTTGATCCTCTCAACAACCCTGTGAAACAGTGGACAGGTAAGGCAAACTGTATTATGCTGATTTTAAAGACGAGGAAATAGGTTTCAATCAAGAAGTGACCAGGCCCAGTAGTGTGCTGGTAAACCCTGAACAACTGGCTCTCTAGGAGGGAAAAAGTGCTGCTTTGTGGCATTCAGCAATTTCTGTGGTGCAAATATTCCCACCATCACAGATTTTAAGTTGCACGCAGCTCTCACAGCCTGATCCAAGGGTCACACAGTAAGTCAGCGAGAGCTAAGGCTTAAAGCCAGCCCAAAGCTCCTAACAAACAATCTCCTAAGCACAGAATCGGTACCAGTTCCAAAATCCCTTCTCTTATCAGGCTTCAGCCCTAACATGCTTGCACACTAGAGATCTCATACCCCGTTGTTGGCTGCAAGCCAAAGATATTTCACAGCTCTCTGCTCATCCAGGTAGGGCTCCTTGGTGAAAAGCACCCCGAGGAAAGCTTGGGCCTGTGGTCAAGGAGGAAGGAAAAAAAGGCATCCTGGTCAGTTTCGGGCTCCACAGGCCCCAGAGACCTTGGACAGACCCTGCCAATGGTACTCACCTCTCTCAAGCCTGAGTCTGCAGCCTGCTTCAGCATGGACAGTGCCCTCTGCCGCTCAGGGGCCCACGAAGGGGCTGGGTCTCGTAGTAGGCACCTGGCATAGCGGTACTGAGCCAGGCTGTGGCCCTGGCTAGCAGCCAGTTGATAATAAAGGACCGCCTGTGGCAAAGGGAGAAACACCCAGTCAGCTGATAACTCTGTAAGCAAATTTTTGTTTCAGTGAAATTTTTAAAAATTATTTTAATTAAATAATATATAATTATAGAGTAGTCAGAAAACTCAGATAAGCCAGAATTTAAAAATATAAACCAAAAATAGAAACATAAAATCCCAAGAAATTCATCCTCCTAAAGATCATTCTTGCTTAAAATGTTAGTGTTCAGCCTTGCAAATATCTTCCCACGTGTTATACATACTCACACACATACATTTTAGACATCTATGTATTTGCACACGTGTGTGGGGGGGGGCAAAGAGAGAGACAGACTTAGATCATAGTATACTACTTTATAACCTGTTTTTAAACTTTAATGATACACCATGAATGTCTTTGCCTGACAATATAGATCTAGCACATCATTTTAAGGCCCAAATAGACGTAATTAACCAGTTTTCTATTGAAGAAACTTTCAGGCTTTTTTTTTTTTTGTCTTCACATACAACTTTAAGAAATACATTCTTATATATAACCTCTTTGTGTTTTTATCCTACTTTAAAAAAAATTAATTAATCCATTCATCAAGATGCTATTCTAAGCCGAGAATACACTTGCAAAGAAGAAAGACAAAATCCCTGCCCTCCCTGATTTTTGAGTCTAAATTCCTGGAAGTTAGGAGCTTCTTTCTTACTTTTCTTTCGCAGCTGGGCTACAACCCATTGGAAAAAAGAAGCCAAACTTTCCCCCTTCCCTGCCCACTGCTCATTTCTAGACATCGCTCTCAGCAGCCCAGCACAGCAGACGGGCTTGGGGGCAGGGGAATACCTTGCGGATGTCCCTGGGGGTGCCTCTGCCATGCTCATGACACAAGCCTGCGTTGTACTGCGCTTTGCTGTAGCCGCGGGCTGCAGCTTTCTGGAAGTAAGAAAAGGCTGCCTTGTAGTCACCACTCTTCATGTTCTCTGTCCCTATAAGAAGACACAGGGCACAAACACTCATAGCTTCCTCAGTGAACTTCCCCGCACCCTCAGCCAGGTACCTACAGACTCCTCATCCGATCCTCCTCCCTTTCCTTTTCTTGTGCCAGACACTTTGCATATATTTCTTTCTTTCTTTCTTTCTTTTTTGTGAGACGGAGTCTCGCTCTGTTGCTGAGGCTGGAGTGCAGTAGCGCTATCTCGGCTCACTCCTCACTGAAACCTCTGCCTCCTGGGATCAAGCAATTCCCTGCCTCAGCCTCCCAAGGAGCTGGGGTTACAGATGCCTGCCACCACGCCTGGCTAATTTTTATATTTTTAGTAGAGATGGGGTTTCATCATCTTGGCCAGGCTGGTCTTGAACTCCTGACCTTGTGATCCACCCACCTCCGCCTCCCAAAGTGCTGGGATTACATGTGTGAGCCACCACACCTGGTCTTTTTTTTTGTTGAGATGGCGTCCAGCTCTTTTGCCCAGGCTGAAGTACAGTGGTGCAATCTTGGCTCACTGCAACCTCCACCTCCTGGGTTCAAGCGATTCTCCTGCCTCACCCTCCTAAGTAGCTGGGATTACAGGCATAAGCTACTACACTCAGCCCTTTGCATATATTTCTATCCTCTGAATATTTCACCGGTTTGCCATAGACAGCAGTTGGTTCTGCCCTACTATAGACCATTCCTCCTTCTCTTGGTAATAGCATCCAGATTTCCCGTTGGGAACAACTCCTCCCCTAGCGCTGCCAATGTGCTTGCGTTCTTCACAACCACAGAGATTTTTTTCCTTAGGAATCTGAAGCTTGATCTGGTTGGGAAAAGGAAAGAAAACGGTCCTTGTAGGTTTATTCTGACAGAAGCACTCTGAAGATACAATCAGCTGCTGCCTCTTGGGTCTCTGGAACTTCCGATTCCTGTCCTTTCGGAGGCTTGGCAGGTCAATAGATCCCAACAGATTCCTTTTGTGCTTAAGTGAGCCTGCGTGGGTTTAGGTTGTTCATAACCAGCAAACCCTAACTGATACAAGTGATACCATTAATCTCGTTTCATGAAGAAATTGGGAGCGGTAATACGGCGGCATCGAGACCTGAATGCAAGCACATCCAACTCCAAAGCCCATGTTCTTTTCATTACCCAAACAAAAAGGGCACAGGAAAGGAGCAGGGCACAGCCAGTTCTCAACTCAAAGCCTTTGCTCCATCTGCCTCTCCTGCCTGGGATCTCTTTCCACCTCCACCATCAAAGGTCCCATCCTGTGTCTGCTCTAGAACCTTCAGCCCACACTCAGCCTTTAAACACTTTTTTTTGGCACTTACTTAATATACCAAACCTTTTTCTAAACCGTTTCGAAAGTACAAGTCCTGTCTCCTCAATTGGACTGTAAAATCCTGGAGGCAGAGCAGAAAAAGAAATGTAGAAGAAATAACTTTGCCTAGGGTGAAGGCACCATACAAATGCAAAACATGATTATGGCTTATGCTCCTTTTGTGTTCTGCCACTGTACCAAGCACTTGCTGAATAAATGAATATATGAATGAAGGGATGGGCAAGAAAATTCCGAGAAGAGACTCTTTGCCCATCAAAATCACATAAAGCTAATGAGGGAGAAACCAGGTTCCAGTCAGCCAGCAGTGAATTAAATAAAGTTGCCTCCCTGCTGCCTGAAAACTCACTGTCCCGGGTTGACAGAGCCCTCTGCCCTTGGGGAGAAGATTCAAGAGTGCAAAGGATCCCACTATCCTCCTGTTTCCCACCTGGCTCATTAATATACCCAGATCCATCTATTCTTGTTGCTCTCTCCTTTCTCTAACCTAGACCATGCCACCGACGTGTTTTGTTTAGCTGTCACTAACAGCACCTACCTGGTCTCCTGTTTCCCCTCTAGCAACCCTACAATCCATGTCTGTCTACACGGCAGCCAGAGAGATCTTTGGAAAAGTACATCAGATCATGTGACTATCCCCTTTCCTGCTCCCGCTTAAAGTCCTCCAAAGACTTCCTGTCTCGCTTAGAAAATCCATACTCTTTTTTTTTTTTTTTTTTTTTTGAGACGGAGTTTCGCTCTTGTTACCCAGGCTGGAGTGCAATGGCACGATCTCGGCTCACCGCAACCTCCGCCTCCTGGGCTCAGGCAATTCTCCTGCCTCAGCCTCCGGAGTAGCTGGGATTACAGGCACGCGCCACCATGCCCAGCTAATGTTTTGTATTTTTAGTAGAGACGGGGTTTCACCATGTTGACCAGGATGGTCTCGATCTCTTGACCTCGTGATCCACCCACCTCGGCCTCCCAAAGTGCTGGGATTACAAGCTTGAGCCACCGCACCCGGCCGAAAATCCATACTCTTTACCGTGGCTCAGAAGACCTCACCTGACCTGACTCCTGCCTGCTGTTCTGGCTTCATCTCCTGTCACCCTTCCCAAGATCTCAAAGCTCCAGCCACACTCACCTTTCTTTTGTTCCTTTAGCAAGCAAAATCCAATCCTGCCTCAGGACTTCTGCACTTACTGTTCCTGTCAGGTGGAAAGCTCTTTCTCCAGATTGAAACAAAAGTGGCTGTTTTTGTGACGGGTCTTAGATCAAAGGTCTTCTGCTCAGAGAGGACTTCTAAATCAAAAACTGCTCCTTGCTCAAGTCACTAACACATTCCCTTGTTTTATTTTCTTCATAACATTTATCAACATCTGAGATTCTTTTTATTTGTTTCTTAATTATTGTTTTTCTGCTCCCTGAGAATAAGGACTTCTTCTTGCAAATCACTGTATCCCCAGTACCTAAAATAGGACCTAGCAAAAGGTAAATGCTCAATAAATTTGTTGCGAATGAATCCCAGCCTCTCGCCTATCTGCCCACTAGACCTCAATAGGTGCTGTGGGGAGTCTGAGTCTCCACATTAGAAGGCCTGAAACGAGCCAAGTCACTGCAGAGACCAGGACAAATGGTGAAAGGGCATTTGGAGTCCTCAGATGAGGGGAAAATGTTCCTGTTCACACATTGAGAATCTGCTACAAAACTCAGGAGCCTGTTCTTTCCTGAGTGTGGCAGAGAATGCTAAGTGACCGCCAAGATTTATTTTCTCCTTCGTACATAGTAACTTGGCAGGATCCTCTGTGGTGAGGTGTGGCCATGTGCCTACATTCCGGATAAAGATTTGTGCAACGTCTAGATTAAAGGGAAGAAGTGATCCTTTAGCTTCCCCACTTTGCCCCTCCTAGCTGGCTAGAATATGGACAGGAGGGTAGTAGCTGGAATTGCCAAACTCTGCCTCAAGATGGGAGCCAGTTTTAAGAAGGCCAGGACACATTTGCATAAGAATGGGTCCCTGCCATCACTGAGCCACCATGCCAGATTTGGTCTACCTACCTGGGAGAAAATAAAATCTCTCTTGTTTAAGCCACTCTCTATCCTGACTCTATCTGACCCACCCCATACCCTTTTCATTTTCCCACCCTCCTGCCTTGATGCAGGGTCCATTTGGTTACCCAGGAAGTTGAAAGCGATGGAAACACTGAGCTGAAAGAGCTGCTGAATGGAAGTCACAGCCTCCTCGAGGGAAAGAGTTTTTGATTTATCTTGTTCCTGGGGAAGAAACATAAAGACTCAGCAAGGGATGGTTCAACTGGGATTGCCACCTGCCCAAGAGAATGTTATGGGGATCCAGGTGGCCAAATCTAGATAATACCTGTTCACCAGCATGCTGAGGCTGGGCTGGTTTTGCCTTGGACTTGATGCTGCTACTGGCATGCAGGAAGCCAAAATCACTGGGACCTGCAAGGGAAAGGCCGACACCCAGCCAGGGCAAAGGAGAAAGTTGTAGTTCTTTTCTCCAACTCTTCCAGCCTACCCAGGCTTTCCATCCAGCACCCTTGCCAGGAATTGAAATAACCTTCAATCACCTCACAAGGCATGGGACCTCACAGGAGTGCCAATTCCCTTCTATGGGAATATGCATCAACCAACGTCCATCTGCCCAGCTCCCCACCACCACCCATCTCTGCCTTCTGCCGATTCCATGAGGCAGGGACGTACCTTCCTCAGAGAAGGGGTCCTGAGGACGAGCTGCTCTCGAGGAGTTGTGTGAGGAGAAGTTCTGGGGCTGAGCTGAGGCTTCTTCCTGGCCAAGCCTGGGTTCTCTGAGGCCAGTGTGCCTGGGAGCTGGGCCATCAGGGCTGGGGAGGACGTGCTGCCGCAGTGCTGCAAAGAGCCAGCAAGAGTGGTCAGGTCAGAGCCGGGTGCGCTGGCTCACACCTGTAATCCCAGCACTTTGGGAGGCTGAGGTGCATGGATCACCTGAAGTCAGGAGTTCAAGACCAGCCTGGCCAACACGGTGAAACACCATCTGTACTAAAAATACAAAAATTAGTGGGGTGCAGTGGCATGCGCCTGTAATCCCAGCTACTTGGGAGGCTGAGGCAGGAGAATTGCTTGAACCCAGGAGGTGGAGGTTGCAGTGAGCCAAGATTGTGCCACTGCACTCCAGTCCAGGTGACAGAGCAACACTCTGTCTCAAAGAAGAAAACAAAAAAAAAAACACGTGGTCAGGTCAGAAAAGGATCAGTGTAGACTGCTCGGGCTTGACTGAGTCCTCCCTGAGGTTTTAGAGGCCATAGGAAGATTCTGGAAACTCCTGTAACACTTCCTTCATACTCCTCCATCTCTGTTTCCTTGGCATCCTTCCACAGGAGTCTAGAGGGGTCTGTATTTGTGCTGATCTCCCACCCTAAGCATCAATCACTCCTCTGCTTGAATTCTTCAGTGGCAGGGAGGCATCTACCTTACTCACTGTTGTAGCCCTAGTACCTAGCACTTTCTTTGATAGTAATATTGCTAATTATTATCATCATAATAAAGACAAGAACTAATGCTTAAACTAATAATTACTATGCATTTACTATGTGCCAGGCACTGCCCTAAGTCCTTGATATGGATTAACTCATTTAGTCCTCTCAGTAAACCTATGGGGTAGGCTTTATTATTACCCCATTTTATAGATGAAGAAACTAAGGCAGAAGGAAATTAAAAGTGACTTGTGCGCCAGGCGCGGTGGCTCAAGCCTGTAATCCCAGCACTTTGGGAGGCCGAAGCGGGTGGATCACGAGGTCAAGAGATCGAGACCATCCTGGTCAACAAAGTGAAACCCCGTCTCTACTAAAAATACAAAAAATTAGCTGGGCATGGTGGCGCGTGCCTGTAATCCCAGCTACTGAGGAGGCTGAGGCAGGAGAATTGCTTGAACCCAGGAGGCGGAGGTTGCGGTGAGCCGAGATCATGCCATTGCACTCCAGCCTGGGTAACAAGAGCGAAACTCCGTCTCAAAAAAGAAAAAGAAAAAAAAAAAGTGACTTGTTCAGGGACATAAGACATAAGTGTACAGCCTGGCACAGTGGCTCACACCTATAATCCCAGCACTTTGGGAGGCCAAGGTGGGTGGATCTCAAACTGAGGTCAGGAGTTCGAGACCAGCTTGGCCAACATGGCGAAATCCTGTCTCTACTAAAAACATAAAATTAGCTGGGGATGGTGGCAGACACCTGTAGTTCCAGCTACTCGAGGGGGTAAGGCAGGACAGTCACTTGAACCTGGGAGGCGGAGGTTGCAGTGAGCCGGGATTGTGCCACTGTTCTCCAGTTTGGGTGACAGAGTGAGACTCTGTCTCAAAAAAAAAAAAAAAAAAAAAAAAAAAAAATACTAGTATGCAGCAGTTTTGGGACTTGAACCTTTATAATCTGACTCTAGAGCCTCCACTACTAGGCTATGTTGCCTCGGTACCATGGCACAGAATAGGTGCTCAATAAAGATTCATTTATTCCTGAATGACTGAGTGACTGACCAGAGAATAACCTAACCGGTTGAATGTGGGACAGGAAACCACACCCAGAATCGAAAGTGGTCTGGACCTGTGGGGCTCCCTCAGCTGGAGGTGATGGGAGGAAATGGAAAGACACTGAGGGGCAGGTGTGGCCCACACCCTGGGTGGATAGAACTTCGCCAATTCCTCTTCCTCTGACTTCAGATAGGAAAGGCAAGGAGCTGCTGACAGCTCTTTTCCTGAGGTGTGTCCAGAGATGCTTCCTGACCCAGAGAGACTCCCAGGCCAGCCCTCCTATCCCCAGGACTGAGAACTCACAGGAGCATGGGTGCCACAGGGGAGATGAGAGGAAACGGCCCAGAGGACTGTGCCAGGAGCACTGTTCCACCCGGCGAGGTCCTGCCGGCAGGGATGCATGGAAGTGGATCTGCCTTGCCAGCTGCAGGGCCAGCACGGCCAGAGTGCCCTGGGAGAGACAGCGACATTAAGGACACGGTCGTTCACCAGTCAACTCCGTCAGACTCAGCCTTACACTCAAACATCACTTCCTCAGGAAATCCAGCGGGGGGCATCTCCTCTGCTACAAACTTTCACAGCACCCGAACTTCTCGGGAGCCCTGACCACATGGGCATTTAAACAATCATCTCTAGAATTATTTATCTAAGGTCTGTCTCTTCTGTTAGTCTATAAGCACAACATGGGCAGGGACCGAGTATGTTTTACTCACCAATGTATCTCTGGTGCCCAAGTACAGCACAGTGTGCTAAGATACAGTAAGGATGAGATATAAGTACAAACTGAATAAGTGTCTGACCAAGGGACTAAATAAGCAAAAACTAAGCCAGCAAAAAGACAGTGGGGTAGGCTGGGTATGGTGGCTCACACCTGTAATCTCAGCACTCTGGGAAACCAAGGCGGGTGGATCACCTGAGGTCAGGAGTTTGAGACCAGCCTGGCCAATATTGTAAAACCTTGTCTCTGTGAAAAAATACAAAAAATTAGCCAGGCGTGGTGGCGGGCACCTGTAATCACAGCTACTCAGGAGGCTGAGGCAGAAGAATCGCTTGAATCCATCAGGTGGATGTTGCAGTGAGCAGAGATTGCACTATTGTACTCCAGCCTGGGCGACAGTGAGACTCCATATCAAAAAAAAAAAAAAAAGATAATGGGGTAGGCTGGCACCTAGTTGCAAATATAACAACAGGTCAGAGTTCCCGTTAGGCTCTCTTTCCAGTCTGTACAACCCCTCCTTCTACCAACTCCCATTACCCCAGTCAATCACCCCAACACACACACATCTCCAGGTGTAAGCTTTGTAAAGATGTTTCTTCTCTCAATGGTCTGCAGGAGACTTGAGCTAGCTCTTATCCCAGAGGCGACTTAGTTTATCCTGTCTCTCTTTGTGTTATGCTTAAGAAGGCTGACCCAGGGTCGGGCACAGCGGCTCATGCCTTTAATCCCAGCACTTTGGGAGGCCAAAGCAGGCAGATCACTTGAGGCCAAGAGTTCAAGATTGGCCAACATGGAGAAGCTCTATGTTGAAAGTAGAAGGTTAAAAACTCTACTAAAGTAGAAACTCTACTAAAAATACAAGAATTAGCCAGGCGTGGTGGCACACATCTGTAATCCCAGCTACTCAGGAGGCTGAAGCATGAAAATTGCTTGAACCTGGGAGGCAGAGGTTGCAGTGAGCCAAGACTGTGCAATGTACTCCTAAAAAAACACAAAGGTCGACCAAGATACTTGTTGTAACAGGCACTGCATACAATAGCAAGTAAGACAGACATAGTTTCTGCCCTCGTGAAGTTTATATCTTGTGTTTAAAAAGACAAAACACAAGTACAGAGAGAAATAAATACAACTACTACCGATGCTAAATGCCAAGAAGGAAACAAATCAGAGTTACACAGAGCGTAAGAGGGGTTGTGACAAGACAAGGAGTCAGGGAGAGCCTCCCTGTGGAGGTGATTTGTGAGCTAAGGCCAGAAGAAAAGGCACCAGTATTGTGAAGAACAGAGACACGTATCTGTGGCACTGGGGACAGCTTGTATGCAGACCCTTTCATATGAACAGTAGTGTCAGAGCACAGGGACGGCATTAGGACTTCTGGAATCCAGGCACTCTTCCTACTTCTCACTGTGGGACAGCCTTAGAGCTCAGACCATCTTTGGCAATATGGGAAAATGCTCATCCCTTCAGGGTATGATATGACCTTAGTCCACAGGTCCCCAGAGAGAGGTAACCCTGTCGTGGAGACATCAGAGGCTCAGCTGTGCTGATGATACCAATTCACAGATGAGAAAGCTAAGGCTCATAGAGGTCAAGTCGTTTGTCCAAAGTACACAGCATGAAAGCAGCAGGGGTAAGCTGTGACAGACATGAGAGTGATATGTGTGTCAACTTCATTCAGAAGACCTTATAAGGAGAACTTTTACCTAGAATTTTACCTGAAAAGCAAAAGATTCTGCCCTATGAGACTTAGTGTTCATTATTAAGAATCTGACCTTACAGATCAGATTCAACAAATATTTACTGAACAATTATTATGGGCTAGGCTCTGTATTAGACACAGGAACTAAGCAGTAGAACATGAACTCCAGAGTTAAATCTGGCTCCTGCGCTTAATAGGTGTGAGTCTCTAAGCATGTTACCTAACATTTCAGAGCCTGAGTTTCCTCATCTGTAAAATGAAGGTGATATTTCCTTTGTAAGATTTTTGTAAGGATTACACAAGATAATGCAATGTATAATACTTTACATTTATAAATAATGCTATGTATTATTATTTATTGTAAGATCCATGAAAGCAAGAATATATCTACCTTTTTCTCTGCCATGTCCCTAGTACCTAGCAAAAATGCCTGACCCAGAGAAGGTGTAAAATAAATGTTTACTGAATGAAATGAGGAAAATATACATGGCGGGGTAGGGGGAAATGGCAGTATCTCCTTGAATATGCTCCAATGCTATGGGTTACTTGTTAAATGAACACAGTGATTCCCTAGCCCTTGTTTTCAGGTTAAGACTATACATCTACAGAGGATCATTCTCATCTACATTGAAGGTCAAGGACAGGGCTGGGGATACCTTACCCATGATATGGCATCCCGTAGGGTGTTCGGGGAGACACGGGCAGACATCCACTGGAAGGCATCCTTCCATCCATGGGACTTTGGCCCCCTGCTCCTACCTGGGCCTTGGGGACCCGACCTAGATGATGCAAGAAGAGGCTGTCAAATTCTCTACAAAGTAGGACCGAAGGAACACCAGGGGAGGAAATGAGTGGCAATACGGCAGTATCTTACCTGTCAAGGTTAGGCACAGGAACCAGCAAGGTGGAGGAGGTAGTCTGAGGCCCATCTGGGCTGGTGAACTTGGGAGTCACCCTCCAGAGGCTAGGTCCCAGCGTACGGGGAAGAGCTGCAAAGAACCACCAAAACTCAGATACCTCAACAAAAACCCAGGAATCACTGTCATCTGCCTCAGCAGAGGTTTTTAAACACGGATACACATGAGAATCTTTTGTCAACTACAAATTCTAGCACCAGAACCAATTAGTTCTAGAACCCCAGAACCAATAAACTAACATTTCTCAGGGTAAAGCAACCACTTTTTAAAAAAGCTTCCATGTGATTCTGCTGCTCTCCTGTGGCCGCCTGTGCTGCTCTCCTGTTGTAAGATGACTAGACGTTTATACACATACTCTCAATAATGTTGGGGGCGCTTTGTCTCTAAACCTCTCCTCTCTTCATTGGCTATGCCTACTCCATTGGCCCCTAATGGTCTGTAATTCCTTCAGTTCACCATCTCCTGCCATTGGTCTCCTCCCCCTCCCAATAGTCCCACCCATCTCCTTGGACTCCACCCTCTTCTCGCTAGGCCCACCCACATCTCGAATTCCAACAGCCCTTGACTTCCCCGCCCCCTTTCAGGCCCCGCCTTTCTTAGTCTAACCCCGCCCCCAAGCGCTCCGGCTGTTTCCTCCGGCCTGCCCCCACTTCAGTTCCATCTCCTCGGCCCCGAGTGGTGCTCGCTGCTCGGACGCCCCTTACCTAAGCTCAGGAGTCCCGGGAGGCGCCACATGTCGCTGCCGGCACCATAAAGAGCTCGCAGCCGAAAGGGCGAGGCCGAACCTCAGGACAACGGCTAGAGAAGCCGCCACGTTGCTCCCGAGTGGCCGAGTCCCCGAGGAAGTTCTGAGCCGGCCAATTAGAGGGGAGCCCGGCCGGAAAGACTGCGCTTCCGAGAGGAAGTGCAGGGAGGAGGCGTATTCCTGGCCAGCGTGGAGGTGACGTGCGGCAAGGGCATGGGGATGTGGGCCCAGCCTTCCGTGGGGGACGTCCTTGGCGTTGGCACGCGGAGGCTGGGGACCTCAGGTGGCAAAGCGAGCCGCTCGGAACCGTGACGGTTGAGAAGCGGGGCTGGAGCGCCTTCGGGGGGGCAAGAGGACCTTGCAGACGCTGAGGCCGCGAACGAGGAAAGGCTTCCCCAGGCCCTAGGCTTGAGGAGGTGGGAGTAACCAAGCTCCGTGGCGGAGGAGAGGAGCCCCGGGGTCCAACAAAAGAAGCCAGTAGGCCGAGCTTCCATCCAAGGCCACCTGCCTGGAGATGCCAGGCCAGGGCCCGACCGCATAGGCGACGAGAAACCGCGCAGGGCAAGGTTTTGATTCTGGCTTCTAGCTCCGGCCCAGCTTTGTCTCACTGTGCAGCTTCATGCCAACCCCTTACCTTGCCGGGCCCTATTCCGCGCCAAATAGGGTCAGGTGGAATGACTGGCCTGACAGGCTGGGATTCTTGGGTAGCTCCTTTCAAAATACCTGAGACACCTCCGCGCCCTGTTAGAACCCCGGTCTTCAGATACGGCAAAGGTTATCTATTCGTTTGTTCTTTTGTGAAAGAGTTCCTCTTTCACCAGACTTGAATCCGTGAAATAATGGAGCTCACATTCAAGTGTAAGATTTCCTCCCTATCCCCTTCCTACGGGTATATGACTTTAAGATGGTTGGAAGTCTCTAGCTGGGGTAAAAGTGTACTGGGGACACCTACTTTTAGACCTAGGCATATGACCTGAAAGTTGTATTAATTTGTTAGAACAGCTTTTTATTTGGATACGGATTCTATCTAGCTCTGTCGCCCAGGCTGGAATGCAATGGTGCGATCTTGGCTCCCTGCAGCCTCCGCCTACCGAGTCAAGTTCAAGCGATTCTCTTGCCTTAGTCTCCGGAGTAGCTGGGGTTACAGGCGCCCGCTACAACACTTAGCTAATTTTTGTATTTTTAATAGAGAGGGGTTTCACCATGTTGGCCAGGCTGGTCTCAAACTCCTGACCTCAGGTGATTCACCCACCTCGGCCTCCGAAAGGGCTGGGATTACAGGCTTGAGCCATCGTGCCTGGCCGTTAAACAACTTTTGAGCCATATATCAGCCCGTCCTAGGATCTGAGAAGACAGATGTGGAAAGAGGATTTGTGGCCTCCAGGAACATGGTCCAGTGGATTAAGAGTGGGCTTTGGAGGCCGGGCGCAGTGGCTCACGCCTGTAATCCCAGCACTTTGGGAGGCCAAGGCGGGTGGATCACGAGGTCAAGAGATCGAGACCATCCTAGTCAACAAGGTGAAACCCCGTCTCTACTAAAAATACAAAAATTAGATGGGCATAGTGGCACGTGCCTGTAATCCCAGCTACTCGGGAGGCTGAGGCAGGAGAATTGCTTGAACCCAGGAGGCGAAGGTTGCGGTGAGCCGAGATCGCGCCATTGCACTCCAGCCTGGGTAAGGAGCGAAACTCCGTCTCAAAAAAAAAAGAGTGGGCTTTGGAGTCCCACAAATCTAGGTTGGAGCCGGGCGCGGTGGTCATGCCTGTAATCCCAGCACTTTGGGAGGCTGAGGCGGGTGGATCACGAGGTCAAGAGATCGAGACCATCCTGGTCAACATGGTGAAACCCCGTCTCTACTAAAAATACAAAAAATTAGCTGGGCATGGTGGCGTGTGCCTGTAATCCCAGCTACTCAGGAGGCTGAGGCAGGAGAATTGCCTGAACCCAGGAGGCGGAGGTTGTGGTGAGCCGAGATCGCGCCATTGCACTCCAGCCTGGGTAACAAGAGCAAAACACCGTCTCAAAAAAAAAAAAAAAAAAAAAAAAAAAAAAAATCTAGGTTGGAATCACAGCTTGCTTACTCTCTAGCTATGTTATCTTGTGCAGGTTCCTTAACACTAAGTCTCAGGAGTTTCATCCATAAAATAAGGAAAATAATACCTCATGTAATTGTTGTGAGGTTTCAATAAAATAATACACTAAAAATGTTTAGCATGGGCCAGGTGCGGTGGCTTGCTGTAATCCCAGCACTTTGGGAGGCCAAGACGGGCAGATCACTTGGTCAGGAGATCAAGACTATCCTGGCCAACGTGGTGAAACCGTCTCTCTACCAAAATATAAAAAATTAGCTGGGCGTGGTGGCACACACCTGCAGTCCCAGCTATTCGGGAGGCTGAGGTAGAGGTATTGCTTGAACCCGGGAGGCAGAGGTTGCAGTGAGCCAAGATCAGGCCACTGCACTCCAGCCTAACAGCGGAGCAAGACTCCATCTCAAAAAAAAAAAAAAAAAAAAAAAAAAAGTTTAGCTTGGTGTTTCAGGAATACCCTTCAAAAAATAATAAATAAATAAATAAAAATGTTTAGCATAGTAAAAGCCCAGTAAGTGTGTTAAGTTGCTGTTAATTATAGTAGTAGGGGAGGTAAGCAGGCAAGTGTAATAGATTATGTTCCCATAGAAACATGAGCAATGGGTTGTGGGATCCCTTCGAAGGCTTCAGAAAGATAGTTGCATTTGAGCAGGGCCTTTAAATATGAATAAGGGCTTGCCAGGTGGAGAAGGAAGAAAGGCATTGCAAACAGAGGAAACAATAAATAAAGGCCCAGAAGTTTGATATTCAGAAATAGCCTTGCTTTGGGATTTGGGACAGCCACCTTTCACATTCCTTGTGTTGCTGCCCTCAAAATAAAGTAACAAACAAGTATGCTGGTTCGGCCTTGCTCTTCCTCCTGGGTCTTTTATACCCTCCTTCCTTTCAGACTATCCATAGTTTGTGTCATTTCTCAAGTCTTAGCCCAATCCCAGCTCTTCAGTGTAGACTCAACTGTTTGAGCCCTCCCTGCTCCCTACTTTTGCCAATTCCTATAGCACTTAATTTCTTACTATACAGTTTAGCAGTAATTATATGCTATCGTGATATTTATCTTATGTGTTTAACTCTAGCCTTCCCAGTTCTTTCCCTCAAGGCATGAATAGCATCTTCCTGTTTCCTGTCCCATATAGAGCTTGATGTAAATTGTCAGCCCAAAGAATATATTCAAACAATGCCTATTGACAGAATACCTTGTATTAATGATTATTACAGCCAAGGGTACCAGACCCCAGTTTGGGGATTTGCTGATTTGAGTGGAAATGTATTGCACATACATACATTCATTGAGGGCCCTCCCTCAATGAATGTTTGAAGGTAGTTTGAAGCTAGCTGAAAAGTTTTGAAGGAGAGAATAGGACATCTGTCCCCATGTATAGACTAACATGGCATCTCTTGTCCCCATAAATGGGAACATCAGCAAATGACTTGTGTGAGGGTGGATGGTAAGGGTGGCTGGAACCCACAGCAGATCACCTGTTCAGTGCAGCTCACGAGAGCACTGTGGGAAATGGCAGCTGCTTCAACTGCCAGGCCTCAAACCATCAGCCTTTCTTTTCTGCTCCCAAACTCTATGGTGTTGGATTGTGGTTTAGTCCCTCTATGCAGTCCCTCAAGTTGACTCAGTCCCTCCACAAAGGTAAGCTGTCTGTCTGATACTGGGAACCTATTGTCCGCTGTCCATTTAATCACCTTTCATGATGACTACACATACCATTGTGTACTTTGTGTACTCTCACCATGGCAAGTGTTCTAGATACTTGTTGCCTTCGTTTTTGTAGGCATTCTTAAAGAGCAGTAGTCAAATATATCAGAGCGTATTTTGTGCTAAAGGATATCCTAAGTATATAACAATTTTAAAACATGGATGTGGGCTGGGTGCAGTGGCTCACACCTGTAATCCCAGCACTTTGGGAAACAGGTGGGCAGATCATGAGGTCAGAAGTTTGAGACCAGCCTGGCCAACGTGGTGAAACCCCATCTCTACTAAAAAATACAAAAAAATTAGTGTGGTGATGTGCACCTGTAATCGCAGCTACTTGGAAGGCTGAGACAGGAGAATCGCTTGAACCCAGGAGATGGAGGTTGCAGTGAGCCAAGATCACACCATTGCACTCCAGCCTGGGTGACAGAGCAAGACACTGTCTCGAGAAAAACAAAAACAAAAACAAACCTTGGATGTGGTTGGTCCCTGCCCTCACAGAAAATAACCTAGGAGGGCAAACAAAGTAGGCAATTAAAATGCAGAGTGATATTTTAGTTACTTATTGCAGCATAACAAATACCCCAAAATTTAGTTGCTTAAAACAATCATTATCTTCCACAGTTTTGCAAATTGACTGGGCTCAGCTGGGCAATTCTGCTGGTCTCACTTGGGATCTTTCATGAGGTTGTAGTCAGATGGCAGCTGGAACTGTAGTCATATGAAAACTCAAGTAGGGCACTGGAAAGGCTTGGCCTCTTCATGTAGTCTCAGGGCCCCTTTGCTCCACATGTCCTCTCCAGCTGGGTGGCTGAACTTCTTACACAGTTGCTTAGAGCTTCCAAAATTACACAAGTGGAAGCTGGCAGGAACTGGCATATCATCACTTCTGCACTCTGTTGGTTAAAGCAATTCACAGGGTCAGCCTGGAATCAGTGTGGGAGGGGAAAACACAAGGTCACGAATACTAGGAAGTAGACTTTGGAGGCAAGCAAGTGCTATGGGAACACCAAGGGGAGGCCCATAACCTAGGCATGGAAGTCAGGAAGACTTCCTGGAAGCAGCAGTGCTAAACTAACCTGAATGATGAGGCCTGGGAACTAACCAGGTGAAGGAGAGAAAAAGAAAGCCCAGTTCAGGCAGGGGACACAGCTGATACAAAGATCCAGGGAGGAAAAGAAAGAACAATTTAAGATCAGTGTACCTGGAGCTGGGAGGGAGTCAGGGAGTGATGGTGATGGGGTAGTGATAGGCCTTTAGTATGGAGAGGTAAAGGGAGCAAGGTCATAACACCTTGTAAGCCCCCAAGATGTTTGGACTCTGTCCTGAAGGTGTGGGACCCCTAGTAAGGGTTTTGG